AAGCGTCTCGCTCGAGCCGGACCGCTGCCACGTGTCGTTGAAGGCGAGGCCTGCTCGCAGCGAGAGGAATGATGAAGAGGCCGCCGCCGCCGCCGCTGCTGCCTCGGCTCGAGTGCGCGACGCCGTCGACGGTCAGGTGGAACTTCATCGTGTGCGCGAACGCAGCGACCAGGCAGACAGCGTGCCGCCGCGCCTGCTCCGCCTCCGCGTCGCCGCCCTCGCGCGCCATGAAGCGAGAGGCGAGGTCGCGGCAGACCTGCGCGACGGCTCATGGAGGGTTCGTGGAAGGTTCACGGCGGTGAGGCGAGGTGCCGAGGGCAGGACGTTGGTCATCGAGCCGAGCAGCACGCGCGCCTAAAAAAGGGAGATACGGGGAGATATGGGAGATATGGGGAGATATGGGGAGAGATGGGAGGGATGGGGAGGGATGGGGAGAGGTGGGGAGGGGTGGGGAGGGGTGGGGAGAGGTGGGGAGAGGTGGGGAGGGATGGGGAGAGATGGGGAGAGATGGGGAGGGATGGCGCCTCGATGAAGCGCTCGTAGGCGCGGTTGGTGCGGACCGAGAGGACCAGGCCGAGCGCGACGGAGAGCATGGTGAACGGCTCCACCTACAATGACGCCGATCGTGCACTCACGCAGTCGTTGGCGCGACGGAGAGCACCGTGAACGGTCTGTTCCCGGGACCCGGTGCTGACTTCTGACTGTCGTTGCTGTTTCTCGGGTGTCTGTGCGTGTGCGTCTTGGGTCCGGGGTTGTGTTTTTGCGTCAACAGCTGCACCGGCAGCGTGATCATCTCGTGGTGCAGCAGCAGGTCGAAGCCATGCCGCTCCTGCAGAGGGAGGAGGAAGGAGGCGTCAGGCTTCGACTCGCGGCATCGGTGCACGAGGGCTGCGAGATATGGGGAGATATGGGGAGATATGGCATCGGTGCACGAGGGCTGCGCGCACAGTGGTGGAGTGTGAGCACAGAGTGCACTGAGTCTAGCCGCGGCACGAGTCCTCTGGAATGGAGGAGGGCTGCGTGTGTGGCCGCATCTAGGCTGGCGCTCGATCGACTCCACCGTCATGGTGTGCTCGTGCTCCCACGCCACAAGCAGATTGTGCAGCACGACCGAGGCCGAGATGGAGGTCGTCACAGCCAGGTCAGGATACAGGAGCCGCCGGAATGTGGCTGATCGGAACGTGGTGAGGACGTGCCGGATGTGGCGGTCGGACGACTCGCGGCGCGCCCAGTCCTCGTGCGAGTGGTTGAGGTCGATTGGGTGGCCGCGCCAGCGGCCGGTGACTATATCGGCAAAGGTCCGCCGCACGCGCGGCGAGTAGAGCACTCGAGTGCTGTCGGTTGCTTCTGGCTGGGGCCGGCGTGCTGCGATGGCCTTTCTTGCCACCTCGACGTCGGCGGCGGTGTAGCCGCGCTGTGCCCGCCGGAGCAGAGACGCCGTCAGGGCGCGAGGAGGCGGGCGTCGAACGAGCATCGGCCGGCCGCACCAACCAAACCAAGAGTGCCGTCGGTGTGGTGGCCACCAAAACACCTCGGCGAGCAGCGGGTTTCCGGGACCAGCGGGGTATGGGATCGTTAATTGGTGTCAGTCCGAGCCTGTGTGTTCTTCCCTTCGATATCTACAACGCGTAACTAACCAAAACTACAGAGTGTGCCAGAGAGCGCGCGCACCGACCCCCCCCCCCCCTACCCCCTCTCTACACTCACTCACGCCACACCCTCACCGCGCACACACGCGCCGTCCGGTGTTGAGCTTGAGAGGTGTTGTTCGCTGCTTCTCTGGGATCTCGAACTCTCTCGACAGCGACTCGATGGGACCATCGGGTTGCAATGCACACCAGCGTCGGCAGTCTCAGAGAAGCCCAGGCGAAGGGCCCAGGCGCAGGCGCAGGGCCCAGGTGGCACCACCAATGAGGAGGGCGACATGGAGGACGACGACGAGCGTGATCGCAGGGGCTGAGAGCTCCGGCGGTATCGAGGCTGTGGCAAACCAGCCTGGGAGCTGCTCTGCTGCTGCCAACGTCACATAGGCGAGCAAGGCGAAGGTGAGGCTGACGAGGACTGTGAGACGGCGGCCCTTACGCACCTCAGCCTTAAGGGCCTCGGCCTCGGCAGTCGCCTCACGCACCTCAGCCTTAAGGGCATTGGTCTCGGCAGTCGCCTCACGCACCTCAGCCTTAAGGGCCTCGGCCTCGGCCTCGGCCTCGGCCTTGCGCTGCAGCTGCGCGGTCGCGTCGTCGTGGAAGCGCCGTGCCCAGTCTGAGAACTCCGCGGTGGAAAAGCTTGCGATGCCAGCCTGGACCTGGTCGAGCGTTGCGGAGCCGTGGGGCAGGTCGAAAAACGCCTCGTACGCATGCAGTGCGCGCTGCTCCTCGAGCCGCGACTTGGTGGGCGGCCGCGGCCCGGTGCGAGGCTCTTCCGTCTCGTAGTTGTCGATGCCGATGTCGAGCTTCGCAATCATCGCATTGATGATCGTTGTCTTCCAGCCGTCCGCGCAGCCGAGCTCACCCAGCCTCTTCCAGAACTTGCTCAGGTTGTCGGGCGTCGGCTGTGTCTGGTCAAAGTGCCGTAGCATCTCACCAAAGAGGCGATTGGTGTTCTCGATGCCATGAGCCGCAAGCTTCTTCGCCGTCTTAGTTTCCGACTCGTTGCCGAAGCCGACGCCTGGGAAGTCGTGGCGCAGGTCGTTGTTGAACTTTATATTCTTGATCTTTTTCGCCTTGGCTTCGTCGAGCCTGCTGGAGACAGGCGTGCCGTCGACGTGCGTCGGTAACGTGACGCCGATCTTGATGCCGACCTCGGCGACGCGCTTGGAGACGGCCTCGGCGACCGCCTCACGGTGTGCCCCCGGCGTGTCTGCACTTTTGAGCAGCGCCAAGAAGGCCGTCTTGTTGCGGTCGAGCTGTAGGAAGTGACCGAGCAGCTGGTATGTCGTGTATATTCCTTGCTTGTTGAGCTTCTCGGTCGACTGTGGCCCGATGTGATCGACTTCTTGCAGGTCGCCAGTAAGCTGGTAGGATGCGTCGGTGAAGCATGCCATCGCGCACGGCGCACAGGACAGCCGCGAGGCGGGGGTCACCTGCGGAATCAGTAAATGTGAGGCTAGGTCTGTGCTGAGGGGACGCTCACGGGGTGCTGCTGAGGGGACGCTCATAGATGCATTCATGCGGGGGCTCATTCGAGCCCGTGTGTCAAGGTGAGCGGTGATGAAGGTGCAGGTGCAGGTGCATGCTCCAAGATGCGCAGGCGCGAGGGGAGAACCGTCTAAGGCCGAAGCTGTGTTCTGAGGGCAACGGCGCAGCTTTGGGAGGGGCGGCGCGACCAGGACCTGGCGAGGTGTATCGCGGCACAGAGCCAGAGAGAGGACCGAGACCGGCGCCGATGAATGCCGTACGAAGGTCGTTCGTAACTGACTTGCGAGCACAGAACGGCCAACGTCCCGGACGCTGAACGATGACCGCATGTCGAGACCGCATGGCGCGCAATACTCGAGCAGAAAAAAATGAAAAGAACGCCTCACGAGACATTGGGGCCGGGCCGCGGGCGCTCGCCGCGCGCAGGGTTCACACATCACCCCCCGTGAGAGCACAGTGTGTGTGAATGAGTGACCCTCCCTCCCACGTTGTAATCAACCACTACGTAATCCAAACACTACATAATATAAGTAGCTTTTCAGATTTTCATGGGGGGACCCCCCCCCTACCACTCGGGGGCATGGTGACTACCCATCGGTGACTACAACTCGGTCCCAGAAGGCGGAAACAAAACGGGGTAATATGGGGAGCCCCTATGAAATTGGGGGGGGATTAGCTCTTAAAGGAAAAAGGTTGGGGTT